AGACATCCAGGTCCAGAAGTCCGCCATTTTGGCTTCCATTTGTTCAACTCTCGAAAGAAGAGAGAGGGAAAGGACGCTGAGGCAGCAATGTCAAGGCCATCTTCCTGGGGTTGCAGAGCTGCCCAGGCAGTGACGCAGGGACTGGGATGTCACAGAGGGGTCCTGTTCCTCTGTGGTTGTTTGCCTCACCTCAAAGCAAAGGCCAAGGGCAGCACCTGTCATAGAATAAGCAGTGCCCTTGTTCCAGGTGTTTCAAGGTAGCCACGGCGGAGCAGTGAGTCAGGCTTGCGTCTCTTTGAGCACAGGCCCTGTGGGACCGCAGGGGTCAGGCCGCCAGCAGACACTGTGCTGAGGGAGGCCTGAGTCCAGCTGGGACCCCCAGAGTGCAGGAAAGGAACAATGCCTGCAAATATTCAGGACTGAAGGAGCCTTAGAGACCACTGGGCCCGCACCCTTGGCGACCCAGCTATACAGTGCAAGTCCCCGAGAGCTGGCCCAGGCTTACCCTGTAACCTGGAGGCAGAGCCAGACCTGCACCCCAGCCCCAGCTCCCTCTCTCCCTAGAAGTCTCCCCCCATTTTCAGAAGCTCCCCTACCCCTCGCCTACCACTTGCCAATGTCTAGCCCTCTCCTCAGGCACCTGACTGTCCACACTGCAGCAGCCTCTTGCCTCCTCCTGGCTGCCCCCTTGGCTTCCTCCTTTACCTTCCTTGAACCCATCCACCCCCACCCCATCCCCCAAGCCAGAAGAGCCTAACTTTTCAGTCTGCAAATTGGAGCCAGTCAGCCCTGGGCTCAGCCCAAGACATTGCACACTGATGGCAATCCCACGGCCTCACCTCACACTGCAGATTTGCCTGTGACTGCCTGCCCCCAACTCTGCTCCCACCACAGAGGGAGGCTCAGAGATGCACGCTCCTCTCTGGAACATTCCTTTATGCTGACTCTTCTCTGGCACACAGCTTCCTGGAGTGAAGGCCCCTGTCTTGCTCACCTCCCTTACTCAGTGCCCTGCATGGTGCTTGGCACAAAATTGGCCCTCCATAAAGAGTTGTAGGAATGAGTGAACAGAGACCGAAACCAAGTCAGTCAGCAAACACGTGTACAGAGGCTGTTCTGGGTCAGGAGCTGTGGTAAGTCCTGAGGACTCAGGCCTGGAACAAGTGGATGAGAGAGGGTCCTCGTCCCCAAAGTCACCGTCTGGGGAGACACACATCTTTGCCGAAGCCTTGGAGTGACACGAGTGATTTTCCTGCTGAGACCAAGCCCCATCTGGGAAGATGGAGTGAGAACGAAAGATCCAACTGCAAGGCATTGGGTGTCAGGGACCCTGGAAGTCCCTTTTCAGGGATGTGAGGGGCTCTCTGTCAGCCTGAAAGGCCAGGGTGGGGGCCCCTGGGATTTCAGCCCCAACAAGAGGGCAGGCATATGGACTGGGTGAGAGCTGGGGCGCACTGGGGCTGGAGGCAGGAAGAGGACTGAGAGGAAGCAGAGCCTTGGCCAGCAGGCAGGGGCCCAGCCCGGGGGAGCCCTATGGGTCTGTCAGCACTCCTCATCCCCACCCTGGGCCTCCAATCTCCCCACTTCTCCTCACGCCTTCCCACCTCACAAGGCAGGCTGACCGCAGCTCCCCGCCCTGCTGCGGCCATTTCCTCATTCCATGCAGACGCTGTAGATTCGAGAGCCTTTGAAAGCAAACCCACTTCCTCCAGGAAACCTTTTCTGCTTTCCCACTGGGAGTACTTCCTTCTTTCCCTTACCCCACAGCACATACCCTCCTTTTACTTTAGTTAGCCAGTGACCCATCCATTCTTCCATCCACGAATTCATCCACCTGTCTATGGACCCAAACCTCTACCCATGGATCCATCCATCCATCAATGGAGCTATCCACCCATCCATTCTTCCATCCGTGGATCCATCCATCCATCTATAGACCCAACATCTATCCATGGATCCATCCATCTATCCCTTCCATCCATGGATCCATCCATCCATCTGGGAATCCAACATCTATCCATGGAATGACCCATCCGTCTAACAGATAGATGTGAACTAAACCATCCCACTGACTCCTTAACTGTGTTCCAGATACATATTCACAGTAGTGGACAAGCACATAACCCCTGTCCTCCGGAGTCTACAACACAATAGGAGAAACAGCGTTGGACAAATAATTGCAAATCTGATTACACCTGTGCTAAGTGCTATGCAAGAGAAGTACTGGAACCCTTGGGGGAGTCAGGGTAGGATTTCCTGAGAAAAGTACGCTTCATCCAAGACCTGGCTGTCCAACATGGTAGCCAGTAGCCACACGTTGCTATTGAGCACTAGAAATGTGGCATCAGATAATTGAATATTTTATTTTATATAATTTTACCTGATTTTTATTTAAAAACTAAGCAGTGAAATTTTATTGCTGAAACAGGACTTTATTGTTTTGGTGGTGTAACCAGGAGTATTGGGCAAGAGAGGGAACAGAGGCAGAGGATCTGAAACTGTTTGCTGGCTGAAGCCCGTGTCTCGGAGGATGTCGCAGGCGCCTTCTCTTCCCCAACACTGTACTGGGAGGCGGAGAGCTCAGCGGGAGTCAGATTTTCGAATGAAGACGCCTGTGGCTGAGCAGGAAGCGCCCCCCCCCCCCCCCCCCGCGCTCTGGTTTCTACATCCTGGACGCTCCCTGACCCTCTCTGTAGAACCCTGGCAAACTGCACCCCAGGGAGGGAACCAAACCCCCACTGTCTACTTCACTTGTCCCTGGTACAAAAAGCTTTCCTGGCTAGCACCGTGGCTCACTAGGCTAATCCTCCGCCTGCGGCGCCGGCACCCTGGGTTCTAGTCCCGGTCAGGGTGCCGGATTCTGTCCCGGTTGCTCCTCTTCCAGTCCAGCTCTCTGCTGTGGCCTGGGAGTGCAGTGGAGGATGGCCCAAGTGCTTGGGCCCTGCGCCTGCATGGGAGACCAGGAGGAAGCACCTGGCTCCTGGCTTCGGATCGGCGCAGCGCACCAGCCGTGGCAGCCATTTGGGGAGTGAACCAATGGAAGGAAGACCTTTCTCTCTGTCTCTCACTGTCTAACTCTGTCTGGCAAAAAGAAAAAAAAAAAAAAAAAAAAGCTTTCCCCCTGGGAAAGCCCGCGGCTGCTGATCTGGTGACGCCCCCTGGGCAAACAGAACCCGTGCCCTCTAACAGTAGCACTGCACTTTACTTTGCAGAGAACGCAAGGTATTAAAAAAAAAAAAAGGCGTGTAAAGTATCACAATATTTTATAATGTTTCACATGTTGAAATGATGCAACTTTGGATATTGGATTAAATAAATTATATTAGTTCAGATGAATTTCACCTAATCCTTTTAAATTTTTTAAACTATTTTATTTGAGATAATAGTTTTTAAAGATTTATTTATTTATTTGACAGGCAGAGTTGCAGAGAGACACAGAGAGGGACAGTGAGGTCTTCCATTGGCTGTTTCACTCTGAAATGGCCGCAAAGGCCAGTGCGGTGCCAGATGGAAGCCAGGAACCAGGAGCTCTCTGGGGCCAAGCCTTGTTGAAAGTCCAGTCCTAACTAACCTGCTATAAAATGTCAGTTTCATGTCCAATTTAGTGCCTACGTCCCACCTCGCCTCCGCCGAGCCCCGCCCTAGATCCTGCGTGCATGTGAGCTGATCTTTGAATGGGGCTCCTCTGCCCCTGCTGTATTTGGGCCCGGGAAGAGAGGAAGGAGAAGTGAGCCTTTCTCACCCAAAGGCGCTCTGCCCTCTGTGGTGGGATCTAGAAGCTGGCGGTCTCCTGGGCACAGGTGCGGTCCCCAAGAGGCACCTCATGTGCACATGCATGTGTGTGTCGCGGGGACGCTCCCTGCACAGTCTCCCTCACGCCAAGTGCACCCTGCTCCCCAACTCCCAGCCTGCAGTCCGTGCTGCATCCCTCCTGCAGGTGGCCAGCGCTCCCAGTGGACTGCAGGCAGAACCCGGTAAGCCCAGCCACCCGCCTCCAGAGGGGACTCTCGAAGGCCCCTGGCCCCGGCTCCTCTGCATGGAGGAAGTCCCGGCTGCTCCCCTGCCACCTGATCTCTCTGCCAGATCTGTCTTTTCAGTTCCCTTTCCTTCTGCTCACAGGGGCACACGAGTGGATCATCAAGTCCACAGCTGTCTCGGGAGACACGAGGAGAGAGACGAGCCGGCCTCCTCCTCCTGCAGGCCGTCATATCTCCAGGAGTAACCTGGTGGTTATGACTCGCCGAGCCGGGCGGCCGTGGAGTAGAGAGGAAGGGGAGGTTTCACAAGATGCCCACCCCAGGCTGACAGCTTCTCCTGGCTGGTGCTGCAGTATGGACCGGGGCACTGCGGTGGCCAGGGGAGCAGGCCAGACTTGCTGCCTCCTAATCAGTCCTCAGTACTTCCCCGGCCCCAAAGGCCCGTTCATTGCTACCAAGCACCCACGATGCTCCTGGCACCGTGCTAGCTGCAAGATGTAGCATCTTCCTGGCAAATCCCCTTTCTGGGCGGAGACAGATCAACGCAGGCAAGCCTCTGGGTCAGGGCCAACCGTGGGAAGGCGCAGAGTACAGTGAGGGGATGGCGGGAGGCTGGGGGAGGCCAGGGGAACAGGTGGCTGTTCGGTTACAAATTCCTTTTCCCCCAGCTGGGAGCTCAGTGGATGATTCTGGGCCTCCTGAAATGGCGAGGCAGGGGGGCTTCCAAGTGCATGCCCTTTCTTCTTCGCATGGTGGCATACTCATCCAGTTCTGATCCAGCCAGTAGCAGCAGAAGCCATCCTGAGCCTGGAACAGATCTGCTTCTCAGTGATGCCTGTTTGATGTGGAGGAGCCTCCAGATCCGGGACTCCCAAGGCCAGCATATCAGAAGGCAGCTCCAGGGCCTGAAGCTTGAGGCAGAGCCCCAGCCCCTCCCAGCCCAGCGCAAGTGCATCCGAGAGCCAGTGCCCAGCCAGAGGAGGCAGCAGAAGCCGCCCTACCCAGGGGTTTGGGGTTTGGAAGAGGCCTTGGCCACAGTGACCACTTCTCTCGTGGTGGCTCAAACCTTGCCCCACGCCTGGGGGTGGGTGGGCAGTGGAACGTATAAGGCAGACCCAGCCATCAGGACACCTAGGCTTGTGCAGAGCCTCGTCCAAGGGTTGTGGTCGGGCTGGACCAGGGACGCTGTAGCCTCTCGCCATGCCTGCCCCACCTGGGCAGGCGCTGGACTTCCTCCTGTCCGCCCTGCTGCTGGGACTCACAGGTGAGTCCTGAGCCCTGCCCCTGGGGATTCCAGGGAGACCCAATCCCCACACCTGGGTCCCGGGCAGAACACACCCTCAGGCTCTCGCCAAGCCATTTTCTTGCCTGCCAGGTGTCATTTCTCCTCCTCGATGAGGACCTTGTGGGAGAAGGGAGACGATGGAGTTGGGGGTGAGAGCAGGAAGATGCGACACATGGGTCAGGGCCGTGGGGAGGCCCAGGTGAAAGAGGAGCCCACCTCCCAGCCGGTGTCCCTGCTGTCAGCTCTGGGCTGGGTCAGAGGGTGTGGGGGGCAGACAGACAGGGGGAGAGAGAAGTCCCCTGACCAACCCAGTAAGCCCTCAGCAGCCACTGACAGGCTGTGCAACCTGGAGCAGCTTGCTAACCCTCTCTGAGTCTCTGCCTCCTTTTCAGAAAGTGGGGGTGCTCATGCCAGACTCCCACGGGTGGGGTGTGGGTGAAGATGAGCACGCACCCCCAGAGCATCTTGCAAATGGCAGGGTGCTGTGTGCAGCGAGAGGACAAGCCCCACGGCCTCCTGCTGCCCTCTGCCACCTGTCCCTGTGTTGTCCCTGCTGACCTGTCTGCCTGTCCCCCGCATCTACCACTTGAGCAGATGCAGACTCATCTCTGTGCCCCCAGCACCCCACTCCTGGCCTGGTGTGGAGCAGGGGCCCAGGGATACTCTGAGGACCTGGACAGCTGTCCTCGTCTGCTCTTCTGCTCAGAGACAGCGCTGGTGCATCCCAGGATCGGGGCAGAAACTCCTTTGCTTCAGTCCTGGGTGAAGCTGCCAGGGTGGGGAGAGCTGCCCATCACTGGGGGAGAACAAGCAGGGGACCCAACCCCGTGGTGATGGGGGAGTCCCCTGAGGGTGGCTGCCAGGAGGCTTGGTGCTCTCAGTTTACATGTGAAAGGAGAATCTTGACCCTAGCCATCCAGCACGGTCCTCCCCCAGTACTTCCCATCTCAAAAACACAGGCTCACAGCCACCTGATGCTGGGGGTCAGGGGGCCCGGGTGGGGGTGCTCATCCGGGATTCACTCTGCTTCCACCCACCCAGGACTCCGCCAGGCTGGCAGGCTCCGTCTCTCACATGCATTCCCAGTCCCTTCGTTCCTCACCACCCCAGTCCAGGCCACCGTCACATCCCCGTGTGACCCCTTGCTGGGCTCCCTGAGCCGGTCCCCACCGGGGCTGCACGCCCAATGCCCTGCTCATCTCTAGAAAGGGGGAAGGAGCCAGCTCGCCCTCTGCTGGAGGGCCTCTGTCCCCAAGCCTGGCTGCCTCCCACGCTGATGACCCACACAGCGGTGGGTGCCTGCTGTCCCCACGCTCAGCGAGGCTCCCGTTCACTCCTCACTTTCAGCTCCACCCTTGGGGAACCAGCCCCCCGCTGTTCTCTGTCTGCATCCCAGTTGTATTTGCTTGTGCCCTGGCCACGTCTGTCTCCGTGTGCAGACCCAGGACCTGCCCTGCTGTGCAGCCCTCCACCTCCGTCCCTCGCCAGCCCGCTCCGCTCCACGCATACGGTCATGGACCTTCTGTTTTGCAGCTGGGAAGTTCTTCATCACCCTCACGGGCCCTTCCTCGAGGACAACCCCCGGAGCTTCCGTGCCTTTCAACTGCACGGCTGGCCCCTTCGGCTCCCAGGACATCAATGTCACTTGGCTGAAGGACAGCGACGAGCACCCAGCCTCGGCGCAGCACCTGCTGCCTCACGACGGAGGCAATTACTCGGTCAGCAGCAAGGCCTGGGTGACGCTGGCCCGCCAGGACGTGTGGTCCACGATCGCCTGCGAAATCACACACCGCGTCCTGCCCAAGCCCCTGCGGGCGGCCCTGAACCTCTCGCAGGTGCTCCGAGGTGAGCAGGGCGGGGGCCAGTCCCGGCAGCATGGACTTGCAGGGGTTCCCCAGACAAAGCCCCATCTCACAAATGGGGGCCCAGAATCACCCAGCCTGTTCCCAAGGCTGGTGCCGCCCGTCGCGCCAGCGTCCCACGGCAGAGCTCCGGTTTGAGTCCTGGCTGCTCTGCTTCCCCACCAACTCCCTGCTGATGCACCTGGGGAAGCAGCCGACAATGCCCCACGAATTTAGGCCCCTGCTGTCCACGTGGAAGACCCAGATGGAGTTCCTGGCTCCTGGTTTCAGCCTGGCCCCGTCCTGGCCATTGCAGCCATTGCAGCCATTCACAGAGTGAACCAGCAGTTGGAAGATCCTCCTTTTAAACTAATTAATTAATCTTCAAAAAAAAAAAAAAAAAGGAGAGAAAACACTGATTGCAGAGGACAGCTGTCTGGGCTCTAACACTCCTACTTGAGTCACTGCAGGCCGTGTGGGTTTGCTTGTGTTCCTTCACCCTTTTGAGCCTGTTTCCTGGTGAAATGGGAATGATACTAAGCCCTTCTCTGTCCAACCCCTCTGAAGAGCACGTGTCGCCCTTCATAACACCCCTCGGAGAGCACCGGGCACAGTAGAACCGGCCACACGTGTTTCATTGTCGTGTTCTCCACTGGTGTGGCCTCGCCCTCACAACCTCTTTGTTTGTATGTTATTTTTGACTGATTTAAATGTTTATCATTCATTCAATTAATATGGAGCACCCACGGTGTGCCAGGTACTTCCACAGTGTTAGGGATGTTGCGATGAACAAAGTGAAGTCCTTGTCCTCAGGGGGACTTTTAATCACCCTGAAAATTCGACTGTACCGTATGAATTATTTCAAACACAACAGAAAACAATACGCCAGCCACCCCTGAGCCCCTGCCTGTGTCTAATGGACTTGAACATTTAACCCCATTTGCCTTACACTGAGCGAGCCATCCTGAGGCTGGTCCCCAGGAGGGGGCACAGGGGCGGGCAGGCAGGGGTTAAACCCCACCACACCCTAATTACTGTCTCCCTGTCCAGTCATCCCCACCCTGAGGATCACCACCAACCCGTCTGCGACCCACGTCCGCGAGCGTCAGAGAGTGAACCTCACCTGCCACGCCAGCCACTTCTACCCCTCCCCCCTGTCCCTCACCTGGATGGAGAACAGGCACACCTTCCTGACCGTGGAGTGGCCCGCGGTCACAAGAAACGCAGACGGGACGTACTCTCTGAAGCACACGTGGCAGGCAGAGGCCACGCTGGAAGGGAGTGAGTTTGCCTGCTGGGTGGTCCAGGATGATCAGCCTCCTGTCCAGGCCAACGTCACCCTGCGAGCACAGGCACCCGAGCCCAAGAAAGGTGGGTGCGGCTCTGGCCCGGCTCCCCCGGGGCAGCGTGGCCAGGAAGGGGCGGGGACTCGGGCTAGGAGTGCGTGACGGTGATGGGCGCAAGGGTGCAGAAAACCCTCACACATTCACCCCAAATCCACTTTTCTCCAACCTCATACCTAGAAGGAGGGGTGCGACGCCCCCTTCCCAATCCCACGCACCTGCCTCAGCGCCTGGGTGCGAGTTAAGGACAGCTGGGCACTCAGACTCCTTCTAGGAAGGACCCTCGGAAGCTTTTGAAAGTGAACTGTGCAGAGCAGAATTCCCGACTTACACGGGAAAGAGCGTGGATGGCGAGTCCTCCTTCCCTCGCCCCAGCCCCAGCCTCTTTCTCCTCCAAGTCCTGGTCCATCCCTCTCGGGCGCATCCGTAGATCCTTTTGCCCACCAGGGGGCGCTGCCGGCCGCAGTCCGGGCCAAAGGGCCCGCTTTCCTGAGGTCCTGCTAGGAGGAGCGTGGGAGAACGAGTTGCTGGGGGTAGGGGGCGGGGACTAGGATTGGCCCCGCCCAGGTGAGCGGGAGTGTGGACCGGCCGCTCTGCCGGAGCGCGGGAAGTGGGACGGGGCGCTCCCCAGGAGGCGGGGGTGTGAGGCGCCCTAGGCGCGGCCGGGGACGGGGTGGGCGAGGCCGCGGGGCTTCCATCGGCCTCTGCCTCTCCGGACCGGCGCTGGCCTCGGCCTGGCCGCCGCGAGGAGCCGGGAGCGGGTCGGGTTGCGTCCGCGTCGAGTCCCGCCCGCCACAGAGCGCCGCGGGCGTGGGCCCCTGCCCGCTGGCCCGGAGCCGCGCTCCCGTGGCTCCGTCCTTGGTACAAACGCCCGGGCGGCTCTGCCTCCGCAGCCGGCCCCGGTGCCTCGGATCCGGTTCGGCCCACACCCGCTGAGCACTTACTTCGGCGCCCGCGGGACGGCCGGGCAGGTCCCTCCGAGGGCCTGGGGAGCGGCGCCGGGGCTGGAATGCAAGCCAGTCCGCTCTCCTGGCCCCCGCCTGCCCCGCGTTTTTCTCTTCTCTCCTGCCTGGGGATGCGAACCCGAGGGTTATCTGAAGCGTCTCCTCAGATCCCGGTCTTAAATAATTTTTTTTTTTTTAGGATTCATTTATTCATTTGAAAAGCAGAGTTATCAGTCAGCGCTGAGAATTGAGTCATTCCCGTCTTACAGATGAGAAAGCCGAGGCTTAGAGTTGAGTGGCTCAGACTCACCCAGAGGAAGGGTTGGGGTGCAGACTTGGACAGGCGACCCCAAAGCCTGTGCCCCTCACCTCTGCCTGGCTGCTCTCACCCCCTCACCACCCACCCATGCCTTGGTCCAGGAGCCTGAAGTCAGGCCCGGGGGCCAGACTGCCTGGCTCAGCACCTCAGCTCTGCCCCTGCCAGCCAGCCAAAGGCCTTGAGCAAGTTACCAAGTCTGTCTGGGCCTCTGTTTGCCTGTCTGTGGAATGGGCTGGCAACAGCTCCCATGCCCCAGGCTTTGTGGGAGCTCCCAGTGAGCTGGGAAGAGCCCGTGCCAGGGTCGGCATGATGGGCATGCTCCCCCTCTGGCCTGACCTCGGCTCCTACGAGAGCGCAAACCTCGAGCCTCGGGCAGGAGGAAGCCAGGGCTGGCTCCCAGCCGCCTTGGGCCCGGCTGTGCCCTCACACCGGCGGCTCTCCCTGCAGGCAGGATGGCCCACTCCGTCAACCTGGAAGGCCCGCGTCAGCGCTCCAAGCCTGGCACCAGCATCCAGCTGACCTACAGCTCCTCGGGGGTCTACACGCAGCACGTGACGGTCATCTGGTTTAAGAACAGCAGCAAGCTGCCCAGGTCGCAGACCAGCGTGCAGCCCAGCGGGCACACCTACAACGTGACCAGCAGCGTGCTCGTGCCGCTCCGGGCGGACGACCTGTTCTCCTCCGTCGTCTGCCATGTCAAGCACGGGCCCACGCTGGTCTTCGAGCAGTCTGTCCACCTGAGCCAGTACCTCCGGGGTAAGGCCTTTCTCTCTGCTGCGCCGCCTGAGTGCCGAGCCGGGTCGTGGCCATGGCTGAGCCTTGGTTTCTTCGCTGAAGAAAGCATAGTCCTCTCTTGGCTCACACAGTGATTCAGTGGAGCAGCACCTGCAGGGTACTTAGCACAGTTCTGCACAGGATGCTTAACACCTGCAGAGCACTCAACACAGCACCTGCAGGGTACTTAGCACAGTTCTGCACAGGATGCTTAACACCTGTGGAGTACTCAACACAGCACCTGCAGGGTACTTAGCACAGTTCTGCACAGGATGCTTAACACCTGTGGAGTACTCAACACAGCACCTGCAGGGTACTTAGCACAGTTCTGCACAGGATGCTTAACACCTGTGGAGTACTCAACACAACACCTGCAGGGTACTTAGCACAGCTCTGTACAGGATGCTTAACACCTGCGGAGTACTCAACACAACACCTGGGTGCTTAACACAGTGCCTTGCTCCCACTCGCCGCTCAGACGGGGCAGCTGTTACCAATCATTAGCCTTCAACAGTGCCTTCCAGAGGGTACTCCTTGCACCTGCAAGGTGGAGACAGAATATTTCTCCTCTGAGAATGCGGCTTTATTATTATTGTTTCACATGAAGAAGAGTGAAGGGCTTTGTGAGCTTCGAACTTCCAGGGCTCTGGAGTCTCTAGCTCTTTCGTTGTTCTTGGCGTGGGCCTGATTCTTCGTCTGGTCTTTTGGTTGGTTTTTCCATGCTTTGGCAGATCTGTGAATTCTGTGAGGTCAAAAGGTACCGAGCCCGGAGGGAACGGTAGTGACCATTCTATCGCCGAAGACCATTCTAAAGCCCAGAGAAGGCAAGTGAGGGGTCCAGGCATGCACAGCAGTAAATGCATTCTTTTTTTTTTTTTTTTTTTTTTTTGACAGGCAGAGTGGACAGTGAGAGAGACAGACAGAAAGGTCTTCCTTTGCTGTTGGTTCACCCTCCAATGGCCGCCACAGCCGGCACACCACGCTGATCCGATGGCAGGAGCCAGGTACTTCTCCTGGTCTCCCATGGGGTGCAGGGCCCAAGTACTTGGGCCATCCTCCACTGCACTCCCTGGCCACAGCAGAGAGCTGGCCTGGAAGAGGGGCAACTGGGACAGAATCCAGCGCCCCGACCGGGACTAGAACCCGGTGTGCCGGCACCGCAAGGCGGAGGATTAGCCTAGTGAGCCAAGGCGCTGGCCGTAAAATGCATTCTTTAAATGCGTATCGGACTTTACAGTTCGCACAATATTTTCTTCTTCACTTTCTCATCCACAAGATAGGGGAGGAGCGTGCTGTTATCATGGAAGGGAGCCGGTGCTTTTACCAGGAGGCATGCCGGTGGTAAATCCTGAAGCAGCCGAGCGCGCCCTCAGTTACGCATGGACACACGGTCCTGTGGGGTAACGTCCGGTGCACGCAGCTGTTGGTCTCGTCCGTGGTGTCTGGGAGTGAAGGCTTCCAAGATGGTTGCGCTGCCGCGGGGCAGGGTCTCCACTCCACTGCCTGCACCTGCTGCGGGCTCACCTCCAAGCTGCCTTTGTTCTCTCAGCCTCAGTATCTTTGGCTTACAATAGAAAATGGATAGTTCAGGGGGTCCTCCTTATCCGAGTCATTACTGTTCGTATTTGAAAAGCAGAGACAGAGATCGTCCATCCTCTGGTTCACTCCCCCAATGCCTGTAGTAGCCAAGGTTGGACCAGGCTGAGGCCAGGAGCCTGGCGCTCCATCCGGGTCCCCCACAGGGGTGGCCGAGACAGTTGAGCCATCACCTGCTGTCTCCCAGGGTGTGCATTAGCAGGAAGCTGGGGCCAGAGCAGAGGTCTCTGGTGTGGAGTGGGTGTCTTAACTGAGGCCAGAAGCCCGTTCCTTGAGCATTTATGACGCAGTTCCCTATAGCAAGGACAGTTGTGTGGAGAAGAAGTCATAGCAAATACAAGTATTGACGAGCGAGATGATTGCATATAAAGTTAGCTGCTGCTCTCGGGTTGTGTCTCCCATCGCACAAGTCTTGGGGGTAGGGTGCGGGGCGGGGGTCTTTATTTTGGATCCCCTGAAAGCAGAGCCTGAAGCCCAGAACCAGGGGCAGGAGGTTGGGAAGTGGTGCCCAGGGGGGTGCCCCCAAGGGTGTCTAAGAGACCGTGGACAATGGGGGCTTCTTGCCAGTGTGTGTGGGGGACCATCTGAGGCACGTGCACGCAGGTGATGCCTCAGCGCGTCCCATGGAGGGGAGACTGGGGTGTCCCATAGTTGCAGAGAACCCTGAGGCAGATGGGGCAGGCAGGCGTGGCAGCTGGGGTGGGACTCCATGTGCGGGTGGCCCCCTCTCCGTGTGCAAGGTGGCTGCCTTGCGGTCCGGGAGGGGGCGTGGGAGGGGAATTGGAGCTCAGACGCCTTCTGCAGGAGGCTGGTCACCAGATCGTCCCGTGTGAACAGGACCCACTTCCGCTGCAAGGGGAAATCGGAGGTCTAGCCACAATCATCTGTGAACTTGGTGGGAATGAAGTGCGGCGGTCTCAGACGAAACTCTGCGCACCTGGGTGTGGAAGCAGAGGGGTGGGCGTTTGGTGCAGGGGTGGAGACGCTGCGTACGACGCCCGCGTGCCATGTCTGAGCACCTGGACTTGAGTGCCAGCTTCTGATCCAGCTTCCCGCCAGTGCACACCCTAGAGCAGCTGATGATTCAGATACTGGGGCCCCCGCCACTCACACAGGAGACCCTGACTGAGTTCCAAGCTTCTGCCTTCAGCCTGGCCCAGCCTTGGCTACGCGGGCATTTGGGGAGTGAACCAACAGATGGAACTTCTCTGTCTCTCTGCCTTCCAGATAAATAAAACTAAAAGTTATTTTTAAAAAATAGAAGAAGAAAGGAAAGAAAATCTGTGATAATGACGCTATGGGCACTTTACAGAAGGAACACGGATTAAAAGGGGCCTCTGTGAAAATCGACAAAAGATTTGAAAATTTTCAAATAATTTTCCCAAATTACCTATTAATGGTTGTGCTGTGAATGTGCAACTGGAGATGAAGGATTTGTTGGAACCATAGCATAAGTTTGGGGGAGAAAATTCTATCAGGTTCCTTCCACTGCCAACACTTGTTCCTTCTGTTTGATTCATGGCTGCAATTATATCCTATATCAAATTAAAAATCCACATGAAATAAAATTATTTTTATTAATTACATGTGTTTCAAGATGAGATTTCAAGCAATTCTGCCTTGATTGTTTCTATGAAATTGGGACCTGACTTTGTATAGGTTCCTGCTAAGGGTCGCTTTTTGCTTTTCCCATACCAAGTGATTTTCTGTGTTTACCTCACTCAGTTTTGTGAAGAATAAATAAGAAATACACACACGGGGTCTCAAACACTGCCATGGTGTGCATGGACACAGTTGTCCCCCGCTGCGTCCAGGCCTCTGTCCTCCTAACACTGAGTTGGACACTGTGCAACTGAGAGCTAGAATAGGCCACCTGAGCCCCGTGGCACCTGCCCCGTGGCAGCTCGCCCCAGCTTCTCCCCATGGGCTCCACCCCAGCTGTCAGGCCTTCACCATCCTGGGCCTCCTGTCTCAGGTCTTACTTTGCTCGGTGGGAGTCCCTGTGCTGTTCCGCAGGGAGAGACGCAGCACCCGGAGTGAGCACTGGGGACCGTGTCTTGTCTGAGCTGTCCAACCCATTAGCAAAATCGCTGACAGAATTTTACAGGTCTGAGTGGGCTGTGAGTGAAAAAGGGGAATTTTGAAATCAGATGCCATCACTTCTTGGCCTTTTGGCTAAGATCAAGTGTGAAATCAGATGCCTTTAGTTCTTTCAGATTGCACTACATAAGAATCATTCTTTCGGGCCGGCGCCGTGGCTCACTAGGCTAATCCTCCGCCTACCGGCGCCGGCACACCGGGTTCTAGTCCCGGTCGGGGCGCCGGATTCTGTCCCGGTTGCCCCTCTTCCAGGCCAGCCCTCTGCTGTGGCCAGGGAGTGCAGTGGAGGATGGCCCAGGTGCTTGGGCCCTGCACCCCATGGGGAGACCAGGAAAAGCACCTGGCTCCTGGCTCCTGCCATCAGATCAGCGCGGTGCGCCGGCCGCAGCGCGCCGGCCGCGGCAGCCATTGGAGGGTGAACCAACGGCAAAAGGAAGACCTTTCTCTCTGTCTCTCTCTCTCTCTCACTATCCACTCTGCCTGTCAAAAATAAAAAAAAAAAAAAAAAAAAAAAAAAAAAGAATCATTCTTTCTACCCCAGACCAGGACCTGGAATCTGTCTGAACTGTACCCGTGAGAGCTCATCTGACCTTAGAGAATTTCCTCATTGCAGTCTTGAAAACAGAGCACGGATGACTTGTGCAGAGTCTTGCAGCTGACCGTGGTGTCGGTGCCGGGACCAGAAGCCAGGTCTCCCAGCCCTTGCTGAAGCTGTGCCACGCTGGGCGTTTATAGGAAGTCCACTGAACTAGGACAGGGTCCCTCCAGTGTTTCTCATTGTGAACATTTTCTGTTGCACAGCTGGAAAATCTGGTTAAAGGAGAAAAATCTCAGGGTCATTAGGCTAGAGTTGCAGGTGCTCAGAATCAAGTGTTTACTGCTGTATCATTTGGGTGTCAGAATAGCACAGAGCCAAGAACACTGCCTCCAGTGCAATCCCAGCTTTGCCGCGTGTGACGTTGGCAAGTGCCTCACCCTCTCCACACTCAAGGCCTTCCTGTGTAAAGTCTTAGGTCTCGGAGCAGAGCCTAAGAATCTTCAGATCTCAGCACAACCCAGGCATAAGGGAGTCGACCAATTTGTAGCCAGTGAAGTGGAATTCACACCTTATCTTTTCCTCTTCCATGGGCAAAGTGGGAAAAGGGAAGATGAGGCTGGCATCCATCCATCCCATTCGCTCCTCCCTGCACCCACCCAGCCCTCTGAGCGTGCCTTCATTCATGCACTCGCAGCCTCACCCAGCCCGGTCTCCTCTGCAGGCGTCTGTCCCCCAGCGCAGCTCTGGGTTAGGCCTTGAGCAGATGCCCCTGTCCCCCCACGGCAGACTTCCCACGGTCACTTTCTGCTTTCTCTGGGCTTTGTCAGTTTCCCCTGCAGTGACAGTGTCCCAGTCTTCAGCGTCCTCCGGCTTGGTGGCGGTCACCTGCCACGTGCAGAGATTCTATCCACAAAGTGTGTATCTCACCTGGGTGGAGGACTGCCACACGCAAAAGGGAACCGAGCAGCCCCTGTCCAGGAGGAACGGAGACGGCTCCTACAGCCTGAAGAGCTTGCATCTCGTGAATGCGTCGGTGCAGAGGACTGAGCGGGTGGTTACCTGCAGGGTGCAGCACGAGGACCAGCCTCCCGTCCAGGCCAGCCTCATCCTGTCCACGACAGCACGCACCCTCGGGAGCCCAGGTGAGGGCCCCTCGGCAGGGATCTCCTGAGTGGGTTCCCGGGACACTGGGAGGAGGGGAAACATGATCATCATCAAAGTCTTGTTCAGCTTAAGAGCCTGCAGTTCCTTGGATAGCCAGAGCGGTTTCTGGCCAGTGGCTTCCCTCGGCGGGTGGTGGCCCTCTTGGAAGTTTCTGCGGAGAGAGCCGTCTCTGAGCTCGGCCTCTGGGCAGTGGCCCTGAGAGCTCAGCTGGGTGCCCTCCCCTGCAAGGGCTGTCAGTGTGGCTGCCTTTTTAAAATGGTTGGTGAATTCTGCGGAGGCAGCCTCGCCTGTGCGTTGATCCTTAGGACTCGCCTGAGCAACCTTACTCATTGCAGGGGTGGGGATGGGGGGAGAATCAGGTGAGGATGGAGAAGTTCTTCCGGTTAACTCAGGCTCTGAATTCCCTGTGCCCAGTTGTGCACCTGGAGAGAGGGTGTGAAGGAGGCTCCTCACTTACTGCGTCCTTGTGAGGATTAAGTGAATTAATATACACACTTCGTTACATTATAAATATATATGTGTAGTCCACACGTATGTCTGTGTGAATGTCAGCTACTGTTACAAGTGTTTGAATTCAAGTAAAGCTATTTTTTAGTTTCCAGTAATTACAGCTGCGTGAACTTAGACAACTGAGTTGATTATCGTCTCAGGCCTCAATGTATTCATCTATAAAGTGGTGCTAAGTGAGCTTGCATTAAGCCAGCCACAAGAGCATGGGCTTGGATTCTGATGGAACTGGGTGTAACTTGGGGACTCGGGGACTTCCGACCTCGGGGCATTGAAGCACACTCACTGGCTCCTTCTGTCCCCTGGCATCTTAGGTCTGGAAATCCCTGCCGTTGTCTTTGTGGCCTTACTCCTGGGCCTCAAGGTTCTGCTGGTGTTGAGTTTCACGGTCACCTACATCTGCAGGTGGCGACACCTGTGACAGGTGAGGTCAAGGTGGACACTAGTCCTTAGGGAAGGAGATCAGGGCCGTGTTTGTGGCCTGGCAAGGGGAGTCCAGGGCAAGCACACGAAGTCACCCAGTGTCCCCAGGGATGATCTAGCCGCAAGAGAAGATTGTGAACACTCTTGCTTTCTCCAGAGTCTTTTGGAATTCTCAGAACCTCCAACTTTATGCACTGGGCAGAGCCCTGGGGTAGGAGATTTCCAAGCCCAAGTCCCTGGGACCCTGGAAGTGGAGATCCAAGGTGTGGGGGTGGGATAAAGGTCAAGACCCTGGCTACAGACTCTCTGTATGCTGTTATGCATTTCAGTTTTCATGTGGTGTATCTTTGGAGTGAATAAGGAAAATATTGCTAAAATCAACTAATAGAACCCATGTGAGGAGCATGCAGGTTTGGACTGGTGGCAAAGATGCATGTGGGTGTCCGAGTTCAGAACCCAGACAGTGGGGCGTGGGGGCGTCGCTTCCAATGTGCACCATGAACTTGGCCTAAGCAGAGTAGCAGGTGTGCAGTAAGGGCTCACTGTACACTCGTGGAATCAATACATGAGTGAATGAATGATTGGGTCATTTTTTCTCCTACAGTTCCTGTATGCCCTGTGATACGTTGCCTGCTGCCCTCTCCAGCGGGTTCAATTGGGAAGAAGAAGCTGCAAAGACCCCTAGGTCACCAAGACCCCTGCCCGTCTCTCTGCCATCCCAATGGACATGCTCCCTCCCCAACACTCCCCTGCTCTTCCCTCCCTCAGAGCTCTGGAGCTGAGTTACAGATGAGGCCATGGGCTGCCTTGGTCCCGCCGTGCTGAGTTACACTCCACTCTAAAGAGAAGCAGTCTGCTCAGGGAAACAGGGCTCCATCCTGCCCTTGATCATGACCAGCTCTTAGTTTTCAGAGCACTTTCTTCCTTTTATCTGAGGCTTTTGTAATATGATTTTATTTTAACATGTATTTATTTTGAAATCACCAAAATATTGAATAAGCAGTTTTCTACTCTGAAATCTATAATATAAAAAATACCCATGGACCCATCATTCTGCCTTCACAAAATATTTACTTTTGCCATTGTATCCTTTAGTTCCTTCTTAAAAACCTTGTCTTGAAGTTGGTCATTCCTAAGCATGATTTTACACTGTTATGACATATGGATAAACCCTTAAGGAACGGACAGCATTCCTTGGCATGTTTCAAATTTTACATGTTATTATATTGTACACAGCATTCTGGAACTTTATTTATTATGCATAGGAGTTTATGGAATTTATCCCTGTAGATGTGTGTAGCTCCATTTGATTAATTCCCCGCTGCTCTGTGGTCTTCCATGCAGGCATACCGCACCGTTTATAGATTCTTGACATGATGGAGAGTGAAGCTTTATTCAATGTTTTTGCTGGGACAGCTTTGCAACAGACATTCATATATTTGTTTCCTTGGGTACACGTAGGAGAGTCCCCTTGTTCTCTGCTAGTGTTGTTCACAAAGCAACAGCGTTGTTAGCATTTGGAAGCTTTTGTTGTAGAAATTTGTTTGCAGTGTTGCTCTTTTTTCTGGCGAGTGTGTGTGTGTGCACCTGCATGCATGCTATAGATGGTAGCATCTTTTTTCCTGCAAGCATGCATCATCCAGCACTCTCAGAATGCATCTCCATCCCTGCCATCTATCAACTCTCTAGAAACCTGAGCTCTCTTGATGACCTCTTTGTTCCACTGATCTACTTACCCCTCCCTTTGTCAACACTGCACTCTTAGTTTGAATAACTTCGTAATAAGTTTTGATACTCCTTTAGGGCAAATCGCCTCACCTTTTCTTGTTCAAAATTGTCTGGCCTATTCTTGGCCCAAATGTATTTTAAACTCACCCTGCTGAGTTTCATGAAAACCCTTTTAGAATGATTTGATTGCATTGAATTTATACATTAATTTGGGCAAATGGACCTCTTGCCAATATTGAGTCTTCCCATTGATGGGCATAGCCTATCTCTTCTTATTTGGGTTTTCTTTTATAACTGTCAATTTATAATTTTGCAGTTTCTTCCCCCATAATGGTTGTATGCATTCTTAGAGCTACCTTTAATACTTTCTGGTTTATGAAATCTCTAAAAATTATGATTACTTTTTTTCACTGGTTTTTGACTGCTGAATAGGCTTGAAGCTGGGTTTTGAACATCAATCTTATATTCAGAAAGCTTATAAAATTCCCTCGCTATTGCTAATAGTGTGGACAATCTTTTTTGTGTAACTCCTTTACGCTAACCTAATGGTCTTACACTCCATTTTCAGCTGTATCAAGGTTCCACGTGCACACAGGCTAGGAGCAGAACAGCCCTGTGAGTTCTCCGTAGGAAGCCTGGAGCCGGCCTGGCAGCCACGCACAGTCCACTCCCACCGGCTGCCATCTGCAACCCTGTTAGCTGATTATGCCAGGTTTTACATCTCACACACGGGTTGATGATGCTGATTTTGATTTTTTACTCTTAGGCATTACTGATTGACTTCCCACGACCCATGTAATGGCCTCTACTGCTGACTTCCTGTCACACTTGCTCCTCCCATCCCCCCAATGTGATCATCCCATAATTTGGGACAGCTTAACAGGCAGTGTCTTCATTATAATGACCAAGTGAATGCTATTTATAACCAAGCCTGACCATTCCCAGCTTCTGCTTAGGTCGAGTCTTTCACACACAGCGCCGTGACCCTAAAGGGTTCCCTGTGGGTTGCTTCTTAGTGACCCCACTCCCACTATTCCAAATCCCTGGCAAATGCTAACCTCTGCTCCATCTCTGTCACTTTGATGGTGATCAGTAAGGACGCTCCTACAGTATGTGACACTGTCTCTCTCTGTTCAACTGAATGCCTTTAAGATCCCTATAAGTTGTCACAAATACTTCCTTCCTTTTCTCCACCAAGTAGTATCTCGTCAGATGGATGGGCAGTTTGTTTAATTATCCACCTGTAAGGTGTTCTGGTTGTTTCCAGCATTCCATCACTACAAAATGATATGCTATAAACATGCATGCATAGGTTTCTCTGTGTACGTAAGTGTTCATTTTCTGGGATAAATATATGGGAATGCAATTGTTGAGTCACTATAATAAGCTTATGGTTCAGATTTTTGAGAAATTGCTAGCCTACTTTAGATCAGCTGTGCCGGTTTACATTCCCACCTGCAATGGGCGAGAGATGCCTTCTCCACGTCCTAGCCAGCATTTGGTATTGTCACCACAGTTTATTATCACTATTCAGTTAAATACATAGTAATATCTCACTGTGGTCTTCACTTGCATTTTCCTAATGGCGGTGAAGTGAAGCATTTTTTCATTGTTTGGTTGCTATTTGTATCTCCTCGCTGGTGAAATGTCTCTTTATGTCCTTTGCCTGTTTATAATAAGAATTCTTGGTTTTTTTCTCATGTTTGCTGTTGAGTTGTGAGAGTTATGTTGGAGATTTGAGGCCTTTGTTAGATGTGTGGTTTGCAGATACTTGCACCCAGTCTGTAGCTTTCTTTTTCTTTCTTTCTTTCTTTTTTTTTTTTTTTTTTTGACAGGCAGAGTGGACAGTGAGGGAGAGAGACAGAGAGAAAGGTCTTCCTTTGCCGTTGGTTCACCCTCCAATGGCCGCCGCGGCCGGTATGCTGCGGCCGGCGCACAGAGCTGATCCGATGGCAGGAGCCAGGTGCTTTTCCTGGTCTCCCATGGGGTGCAGGGCCCAAGGACTTGGGCCATCCTCCACTGCACTCCCTGGCCACAGCAGAGAGCTGGCTTGGAAGAGGGGCAACCGGGACAGAATCCAGTGCCCCGACCAGGACTAGAACCCGGAGTGCCGGTGCCGCAAGGCGGAGGATTAGCCTAGTGAGCCGCGGCGCCGGCCGAGAAAGGTCTTCCTTTGCCATTGGTTCACTCTCCAATGGCCGCTGCGGCTGGCGCACCGCGCTGATCCAAAGCCAGGAGCCAGGTGCCTCTCCCGGTCTCCCATGCGGGTGCAGGGCCCAAGAACCTGGGCCATCCTCCACTGCACTTCCTGGCCACAGCAGAGAGCTGGCCTGGAAGAGGGGCAACCAGGGCAGAATCCGGCACCCCGACTGGGACTAGAACCCGGTGTGCCGGCGCCGCAGGCAGAGGATTAGCCTAGTGAGCTGCGGCGCCGGCCTCTGTAGCTTTCTTTCCTTGCCTTGACCTGGTGTTTTGGAGAACAAAAGTTTATAATTTCCAGTTTATCGATTTACAAAATGAATCATACATTCAATGCCAAGTGTAAGAACCCCTCATCAAGCCCTTAGTCTGGAAGATATTTCCCTATATTTTCTTCTTTTTTTCTCACTCAAATTATTTATTTTTGATATAACACATAACCTCAATATGAGATGTCTTATTAAAGGAAGCATCTCCAACAAGGCCAAGCCGGCATCTCTTCTAATATTTAGGTTTTGCCCAGAATTCCCGAAACATGGAACAGCCCATACCATGTGGATGAGGTGAAGGGACGTTTTCGTATTTCCCCTGCTCTTCAGTTTGTACAGTCCATAAGCGACAATTGCCACAAAACCCGCCATTCCAATGGGGACAAATGGTGCCTCTTTAGCTTTCGGATAAGTTTGGATCCCTGATCTTCATCATATGAAGAAAGAGAAACATCTATATTGGTTGACATATTGGTTGCTTGAAGAATCTTCCCACAGCAAGAAACCCCAAGCACATTCCCCTACATTTTCTTCTAAATGTTTTATAGTTTTTTATTTCACATTTGAACCTATGATCCATTTTGAGATGATTTTTATGTAACGTGAGGTTTAAGTCTAGGTTCACTTTTTGTTTCTGAATAACCAGCACCTTTTATGCAAAAGGCTTTCTCCTTTAAGGAATCAAGTCTTCATTCATGGAATTGCTCTTGCCTGTTGGAAAAATCAGTTGTTGGTTGTGGGGTTTTGTATCTGAGTTCTCCATTGTGTTCCGTTGATCCATGTGTCTGTCCCTCTGCCAGGATCATGGAGTTCTGAGTGCTGCACCTGTAGAAGTCTTAAAATTGAGTATGGTGAATCCTCCCATTTTTTTTTTCTTTTTTCAAAATTGTTTTTGACTCGTTTCTCTGTCTCTCCCGGTCTGCCTGTGTAAATTTTAGAAACATCTAATGTACACCTACAAATCTATGGCTAAAGATTTTGCTAGGCGCTGTGTTCAACCTATATATCAGTTTGACATTTTTACTACGCAGAATGCTCCAACCCACCAGTACAGCATGTCTCCCCTGTGATGGTTAATTTTAGGTGTCAACTGTCTTGAGTTAAGGGTTACCCAGGAGATTGGTAAAGCATGTTTCTGGGTACGTCTGAGAAGGGGTTTAAACAGGCGTTTGTTTAAGTGAGCAGACTGAGTAAGGATCTGCCCACACCCAGCGTGGGCAGGCCCCATCGCATCAGCTGAGGGCCAGGATAGAACAAGAGGACTGGGGACAGGTGCACCACTCTCTCCTCTGGAGCCAGGCCGTCATCTTCTCCTGGCCCTCGATGTCGCATGCCAGGTTCTCTAGCCTTTGAGACCCCTGCCGGCACCCCCCAGTCTTAGACTGAGAGATACATCATGGACTATCTGGGTTTCCAGCCAGCAGACAGCACATCATGGGACTTTTCAGCATCCTTAATGGCTTGAGCCAATCCTATAATAAATCCTCTCTTGTCTGTCTGTCCTCTATCTTTCTTCCCATCCTATAAGTTCTGTCCATCCCAATAGTTCTGTTTTTCTGGAGTACTCTGATTAATACATTCCCCACTTCTGTGAAAATTCCTTGCTTTTTTTTTTCCCAACAGTGTCTAACAGTTCTCAGTAAAGGTCTTACAAATGTTTCATTATATTTATGTCCAATATTTCAACTTTTGAGTAATTTAAGTGGTATTGCATTTTGAATTCTGGTTTTCATGGATTGGTTGCCAGTGTGTAGAAATACAGTTGATTTCAGAACATCACGCATCCTGCAACTCTTCTGAATGCACTTCTTATTTTCCAAGAGCCTTGTGCGTAGATTCCTTGGAATGTTCTACAAAGATTATTATGACATCACTTGCAAACAGAGCCAGTTTTATTTATTTCTGATATCTCTGCTTTCTAGTTCCCTCTGGCCTGAATTGCTCTGGCTGGGACTTCCCACCCTGTATTGAAAAAGAATGGTTAGGGAAGAAGATGAACATCTCACTAAGAAATCATCATGGGTGGGGGGAAAGCCCTGTGGCGAAGCTGGTAAAGCCGCTGCCTGCAGTGCCTGCATCCCACATGGGTGCTGGTTCGAGTCCCAGCTGCTGCACTTTTGATCCAGCTCTCTGCTATGGCCTGAGAAAGCAGAAGAAGATGGCCCAAGTGCTTGGGCCCCTGCACTCACATGGGAGACCCAGAAGAAGCTCCTGGCTTCGGATTGGTGCAGCTCTGGCTGTTGCAGCCATCTGGGGAGTGAACCAGTGGATGGAAAAACTTCGCTCTTTCTCTGCCTCTGCCTCTCTGTAACTGCCTTTCAAATAAATAAATAGGCTGGTGCCTGCGGCGCCGGCACTCCGGGTTCTAGTCCCGGTCAGGGTGCCGGATTCTGTTCCGGTTGCTCCTCTTCCAGGCCAGCTCTCTGCTGTGGCCCAGGAGTGCAGTGGAGGATGGTCCAGGTTCTTGGACCCTGCACCCGCATGGGAGACCGGGAGAGGCACCTGGCTTCTGGCTGCGGATCAGCGCGGTGCACCAGCCGCGGCGGCCATTGGAGGGTGAATCAACGGCAAAAGGAGGACCTTTCTCTGTGTCTTTCTCTCTCTCACTGTCCACTCTGCCTGTCAAAAAAAAAAAAAAAAAAAGTAAATCTTAAAAAAAAATCATCATGGGATGGGGACCCACTACTGCCAATAATACTGGAGCAGGCCGGCGCCGCGGCTCACTAGGCTAATCCTCCGCCTAGCGGCGCCGGCACACCGGGTTCTAGTCCCGGTCGGGGCGCCGGATTCTGTCCCGGTTGCCCCTCTTCCAGGCCAGCCCTCTGCTGTGGCCAGGGAGTGCAGTGGAGGATGGCCCAGGTGCTTGGGCCCTGCACCCCATGGGAGACCAGGAAAAGCACCTGGCTCCTGGCTCCTGCCATCGGATCAGCGCGGTGCGCCGGCCGCAGCGCGCCAGCCGCGGCGGCCATTGGAGGGTGAACCAACGGCAAAAAGGAAGACCTTTCTCTCTCTGTCTCTCTCTCTCACTGTCCACTCTGCCTGTCAAAAAAAAAAAAAAAAAATACTGGAGCAGCAGAGTCGGGTCTAGGAAGTCTGGCAGCCAAGGGGAAGCCATAGTGCTGAAATGCCACACCTTCCCAAAAGCCAAGAATGATCGCTCGAATCCACCATCTTCTAAATCTACCCTCAGAGGCAGTTAGCAACCATGCTGTTTGCTTGTCACTGAGCTCCAGCCCAGACCTGCCAGTGTCACAGGGCCCAGAGCTCACATCGGAGCCACCAAAACTTCTGGGCCTTCCGGATGGGCCTCTTCCTCCCCATAAGTAAGCCTCCCAGCCAGAGGCCACAGCAGCATGAGGCTGGACCATCCACTGGGGGAAAGCTGTCCAGAAAACCCGTGGGGTCACCTAAGAAACTGCAGGTAACAGGCCCAGGCGATGCTGGCTGTGCAAACTGTAGACAAGACTCGCATTGAAAATGAATCTTCAGGTCGCTTTCTAAAAGAGATAAACAGAGATAGCTCACCCTAAACCCTATCAGACTCGAAGAGGGTTACAGTGGGGAGAAAGGCCGGCTAGTCTTCATCCAGGTTCTTGCCTCTGCACATGCAAAAATTCAAGGAGGAGATACGGATGAGGGTGTGCAGAAGAGCAAGATGTACTTAAAGGGGTAGTACACACTCAGACCAAGGTCAGGCAGCCTCCAGAGAAAAACCTGAGTGTTGCAATTTACAAGAGTGAGATGATTCCTATAGGATAGAGGGTGGTGCCCAGCGGCAGGGTCTCATTGAATACTCAAAGAAGGCAGAGTTTGGGATGAGGCTGTCATGCAAATGGTGATTCCGCAATGTCTGCTACACGGCGGAAAGTGGGGCTCAGGCACATGCTGGGAAGTGGCTGTGCTGAGCCTGCAGCCATGGTGAATGGACGTGAAAGGGGTAGGGTTTGGGCAGCGTGCACGGGTGAGCAGATGCTGGCCATCCTCAGCTCTTCCTCAGGAACTTCCCTGTTATGCCAAGAGCAAGCCAGATCCTGAATTATTTACCATGTGTAAGCTAGAGACTAATAATCAGACCAAGAGCAGCCTGGCACTTACATAAGCCTTTGGCAGAATCACAGTGAATAATGCCGTTCCCAAGACAGAGTTAATAGACAGTTTGTTGGAGAAACACAAGTCAAGCTGCCACCAGTAAAGTCACAGCTGCTCGCTAGACAAAATCTTGTGAGACCAGGAGAAAAACCACAGGATTTGTCCCTCCTACTGTAGTCAGACTAAGCACCAAGAACCCCACTGGTCAATAAAGG